GCTATAGGCACTTCCGCGCTTCTTACTGTGAAAATCATTGAGAAATTCTTTCCTATGGACTGTCTGAATGCGCGCACGGCTTTTGCCACGCATGTACATTCAGCTCTGATGTCGGGAGGAGGAGGAGGAGAGTTCCCCAGCGCAGAGGTAGCCTGGCACTGGAGAAAGGTAAGTGTTTAACCCCTTGAGTGGGAGTGGGACCCTAAGGGGGGACGGACGGACCTAAAGATCCTATAGTGCCAGGAAAACGAGTTTGTTTTCCTGGCACTATAGTGGTCCTTTAAGCGCTGCTTCCCTACATTCCCCGTTCTATTTGTATCAATGACCAGAAAGAAGAGACTCTGGTTTGGGAAGGTTCAGCTGCTGTACGTATAAGGAACCAAGCACCAGAAATCTCATATGCTGCTATATCCAGATACAGAAACACAGACTGCCATATACACACAGTGACACACAGACTGCCATATACACCCAATGACAATGGCACACAGTTACACACAGAAACTTACACACACATACATATCATAAGTTTTATGTTAACATACCTTGCTTGGGGTCCTGCTGCTGGCTGAATTTGATTGCAGTGTGAACATCATACAAAGACAACAATGCAATTGTTGTAAAATGACCATGAGATCAGCAGCCATTTTGTTCATGGCGGCTGTTGCCAGATTCAGTTGTAATGTTGAGTTAATCATTAGAACTCTTGTGCGGTTGATACATGCTGCAGCATCACAGTTACATTATATGCCAGTCTGCCTTAATAACAACATATTTCATATTTTTTTTTCAATTTGTTCTTTTTTGTTTTCAAATAACAAGGGGGGTACAACATATTTCATTTTTAAGTGTCTTCGAATACTTTTTGTAGATAACGCAAGATGACATGTAAGGCTACCTTGATATTCACTAAAACAGTATGAACAGATTATAGAGTAATAGTACATAATTATTGATTTGCAAAGACAATATACAAGGATACTTGACATTTAGCTGCGCAGTTTACGACTCCTCACTTTGTCCCATTTGAGGCTCTTTGTACAGTTTATGATTGATCTGTTGGTTTCTCTTGTTGTCTCTTGCCGTGCTCATATATTTTTTTCCCTCTTGCATTCCCCTATCCAGTCTGTAACTTCCTTCCCCACTCTGTTCCCCTTTGAGATCTATTCCAGAACTCATGAATCCCCTTAACCAAGCATTACCTCTGATGTCACACAGCACTGGGAATCAGATCATCTAAATTTTTATTAAACTTGTGTTGGTAAGTCAAACAACGGATACTGCGCTGTCGCAGGAGATTCCAGATGCTCCAGGCCCAGGGTTGGCAAATCCCAATTTAGTCAATAAGAAGTAAATCAGGCCAAGGCACTCAGGATTTCTCAATCAGCTTTTATTAAAACAGAAAGAGCAATGTTTTGGCCTATGCAGAGGTCTTTGTCAAAAGTTTGTTAGGACATAAATGGAAAACAGAAAACATTTTGACTCTACCTTAGAACATGCCTAGGTCTACAAGCAACAATCCTTGCTCATTCCTACATTTGTTAGACTTTATTACCAAAATTGCTATTTTACTTATGAGTCTTAAAATAAATTCTCCTAAATGTTTTTCCCATGGCATTCTTTACTTCCTTGTTTCTCAAGCAGTAAATAATTGGATTTAAAAGAGGAGTTAAAATGCTGTACAACAAGGAAGCAAAACGCTCGACTTCCAGAGAATAACCAGAGGTTGGCCCCACGTAATTAAAGTTTGCTGTCCCATAAAATACAGTCACAACAATCAGATGAGACGAGCAAGTAGAAAAGGCTTTTCCTCGGCCATCAGAAGAACTTATTCTAATAACTGTGGAGATGATATGGACATATGATATGACAATATAGAGAAAGGGACTTATTCCCAGGAACACACTGACCACATAAAGTAATATTTTACTGGTCTGTGTGGGGTTACAAGCTACCTGTATGAGTGGAGGTACATCACAAAAAAAGTGATTTATTTCCTGATTGAGCCAGCAGAAGTAAAGATTAGATGTCATAATCGTATGAAGGATAGAGTTTAAGAAACCGCTTAGCCAAGACATAGCGGCTAGGCTTGTGCAGAGTCGGTTGTGCATCACTATCAAATAACGCAAAGGGTTGCATATAGCAACAAAGCGATCATATGCCATCACAGCTAGTAGGATACACTCCGCTCCACCTAAAGATACAAACAAATACAACTGCAGAATACATTTACTGAAATAAATCTTTCTGTTTCCAGAGATACAATTGGAAAACATTACTGGAAGAGTGACAGAGGAGTAGCAGATGTCCAAAAGTGAGAGATTACTTATGAAAAAATACATTGGAGTGTTCAGGCTGGAATCAATTCTTACTATGGTAAAAATACAGGAGTTGCCAATAAGAATGGTTATGTAAATACAAAAAATCAAAAAACATATGACGGATGAATATGATGAATAACCCAGAAGGGTAAAATATTTTACTGTTGTCTGATTTTCATATCTGGATATTTCAATAGATGACATCTGAGGACATAAACAGATTTAATGGTAATATCTAGACTTGGGCATTCGTATTCGTCCGAATTGATTTTCGTCCGAAAATATGCATTTTCTTCCATTCTTACGAATACCGAATAAAGAATGGGTATCCAAACTAAAGAACGAACAAACGAATGGCCGTTTACCGAAAATCTTTCGTTTGTTCGTTCATTCGGCATTTTGAATTACACTCTGTGCGAATTGACACAGCACACTGTGTAATTCAAAAAGCCGAACTAATAACCGAATGAATAACCGAATGAATAGCAATGTCTATATCATTCTTTCATTCATTCGTATAACTAGTTCGGCTTTTTGAATTACAGGCTGTCAGTGTAATGTTCATAAGGCAAACTACCGAACGAGAAGCGTTCGCGAACCGAACGCACAAACAATTCGCGCTTTTTAAAGCTTTGCATTGCTTACAGATGGGGATAGTAGAAAAACCGAATGAACTAATGAACTAAAATGAACTGATTTGCCTCAATTCGTGTATTAGTTCATTCGTGCTTTTTCAAAGCATTGCATTGCTTTACATGGGGATGGTAGAAAAACCGAATGAACTAATGAACTAAAATGAACTGATTTGCCTCAATTCGTGTTTTAGTTCATTCGGATGCCTTGTATGAATCAAAGAGGAGGGGTATGGGAGTGAGCTGATTTTCATTTAACTAATCAGCTCACTCCTGTGACATGATGCTATAGGGGCTTATCCAATGGTGAGTGCTTTATCGGGGATTTAAAAAATAACTAAACAGCAGTATAAAAGCAGGCAGTGGAACTTTCTCCCCCCTTCTTTGACTGAGTTTTGTTGGTGACACACTGTGCTTTTGTGCTGTGTTAGCCTCATTGCTTGTCTTAGAGATCTTCTGTGAGTTTTGGTGTGTCTGCCAGTTCTCACTTGTTCAATTTGAGAGACTATTCCTGAGAATTATTTTTTTAATTTTAGTGCTTTTTGAAAGCTGTGCACTGCTGTGCTGCTGACTGAGTCAGTGTGCCACAAGGTGCCTGGCTGGCACTGCCAGTGCTTGCCTTCCCTGCTTGCTTACTGACTACAGCAACCAGGTATTACTTTTTTTTTTTTTTTTAAATCTTTTTATTTAAAATTTTTTTATTTAGCTTAAAATTAATTAAGATTTAAAGTAAAGATAGAATCAGTCTTTAGCTTAGTGGGCCTGAGGGCTTCTGCCCTAGGGGTAGACTAGCTTGTTAGCTTGCTAGCCTAGAAGAAAAGAAATCTTAATCTAGTTTAGCTGTTGAGTCTTTTAGCAGCAAAGTTGATTAGTTAATTTTTGTTAACTTGATTTTACAGTGGTGCTGCTGTTTCTGCAGTGCTGCTAGAGAAAGTTCATCTTCTGTCAGTCTCAGTTTAGTGTGTTTGCTTGGGTTTTAAATTCTTTTTTTAAGTGAATCTATCTATACTCCAGTCCACATAGAGTTAGTTTAATCTAATGTTTGCTGGCTTTGCAGGCAGTCAGTGTAAAAGTGAAGAAATATTTTTTATTCAGTAACTTAATAGTATTATCTTCAGTTTTAATTTAAAAAAAATTTAAGTTGATAAAATTATCTTCAGTTTAAAATATATTTGTTGTAGTACAGTCTCTTTGTCCTTAGTTAGGACAGAACACATTAGTCAGTCAAACAGTCTATTTTTTGTTTTAAATTTTTTAACACTTTTAGTGTCATTTTTTTGTGCTCACATCAGCATCAGCAGTGAAGTTAACTGTTCTGACTGCTGTTGTGAAGAAATTTCTTTTTTCATTAACTGATTCTTATTAGTTCGGTTAGTGTGTTTGTTTAACAGCAATCAGTGAAGCTAACTGGTTGCTGTTTTTATTTGGTTTATTTTAGTTCCTGATAGATTGACTGTGAGACTGTCCTAACCTAAGCTTCAAGGTAGCTGTAGGAAATCTTTTATTATTTTATTTTTCTATATTAGTATATTTTTTTCATACTCTGCTTGCACTGCAGTAGTTGAGCAGGCAGCACTTGTTGGCAGATTGCTCACGCCAGACAGTGCAGTTTTCCATAGTTCCTCAAAAAGCACTAGAGTGAAGAAATCTGCCTCAGTAGTAGTCTCTATTTTTTTTTAACTGTGTTCCAAATATCAAATAATCCTTTTTAATAAAAATATAAACGTTAGTTTGAAAACACTACATACATTACATTATCTCTTTCTTTTCTTTTCTTCAACTTCTTTTCTTTTCTTACTATTTTAAAATTCTAAATGGATCCTCCTAAACCTTCATCCACTAGTAAAGTGAGGGAGGGTCAGTCAGCAACCATCACCACCACCAATACCACCACCACCACCACAAGTAGTGGTAGTTTGAGTACGCAGCCTATGCGTCAGCCTAAGCGGTCCAGGAGTGCCGCTATGTCAGACTCACCGCCTAGGAGGCCAAAGTCTTTGTCTCGCATTTCAGGCCCGTTGGTGCAAGATCCTGGTCAAGGAAAGGCACCAATAGCAGGCAGTAGTGCAGCAAGGCCCAGAATTGCAAGTCTTTTCTATGGCAAAGGGAAACCAGCAGGGCTTTTAAGGGTGAGCACTATGGCTAGTACTATTACTAAAAACACAACTAGTAGTAGGAGTAGCCCAATAAGTAAGAGGAAGCGTGTTTTGCCCCCAGCATCTTCCTATACCACAAGCAGGCCTGTGAGTCGTGCTGCTAAGAAGCTTCCTTCTTGTACAAGGAGGCTGTTTCCTAATCCCCCTCCCAAGACCACCACTTCCACCACCACCAGTGCTGCGCATGCTTCTACCACTGACAGCGGCACATCAGCACAGGAGTTGTTGCCATTGCCAATGCTACCCAGTGCTCCTAGTCCTATTATTCCTGGAGGTGATATCAGTCTTACCCCCAGCCTTGCAGGGATTGCATTTAGTCTGGCTGATGAAGAGCTTGACTATGAGCCTGAGAGTGAGGAGGAGATAGTAGAGGAAAGTCAGCATTCTTCAGGGAGCAGTCCAACCTTTTCTCCTGCTACAAGTGCACATTTTTCCCCTTCCTCTCCACTTTCTCCAATAGTAGCACCTGCTAGTGCTACTTCAACCATTAGCAGACCACCACCACCACCACCACAACCTCCTCGCAGTGGCACAGTTACCACCACCAGAGTAACTGTGCCAACAATCATCACCACCACTGGTACTACTAGCCACAGTACCAGTGCCGAGGCTACTGTGCCAGCCACCAGTAGTCACACTCCTCCTGCTGCTCATCAACCTGCACCACTAGCAGCAGAATCCCGAAGGGCAAGCGCCAATGTTTTGCGCCGCAGCAAAGTTTGGGATCACTTTGAAAGTGTTGGAGATGGGCGCTTTGCAAAGTGCAAACTTTGTGGGAAGGAAGTTAGCAGGGGGAGAGTGTTGGGTCATCTCACCAGTGCAGGGATGAACCATCACCTTCGCAGTCATCACAAGGCTGTGTTATTGAGGGAAGAGGCAGAAAGTACTAGGACAGGCAGCATAGCTACTATTACAGTGTCCAGTACCATGGCAGCTAGAAGTGACAGGGGAGTTGTTGCAGAGCCAAGAGCTACTGGTGCTGCCAGCCAACAACCAAGACTGGTTGGAGCATCACAATGCATCCAGCCCACCCTGGAACAATTTGGGGGATTCCACTCCAGGGCTATGTCTAAACAGCAGGCCAATAAAATTACGCGACTTATTGGCCAGTTAATTGCTGTTGGAGGTGCTTCCTTTTCTATGATAGAAGGGGAGCCTTTCAAACAGTTGATGGAGACTGTGGCTCCACAATACCATCTTCCCTCACGCTCCACTTTCAGCAGGAGGATAATCCCTTCACTTTACCGGTCCTGTGTTGGAGTAGTGAAAGGGGAGCTTTCGAAGGCTGCTGGTCAGTCTGTGCATTTTACCACAGATTTGTGGAGTGCACCAAGTGGCCAGCATGCCTTTCTTTCCCTTACAGCACACTGGTGGGAGTCTGGTGTGTCTCAGGAAGCTGCTGCTGCAACTTCAGCAGCAGGGTCTAGCAGAAAGGGAGGAAGTGTATCTGTAGATCAGCTGGGCTATCGCTCTTTCCTTCTCCATGCTGAAGTGATGGATGAAAAACACACTTCAGATAACATTCTACAGGCAGTAAGGAGGATGGTGTCTCTTTGGGTTGGAGCAGAGGCAGGCACCAATGTAGAAGTGGGGTTTGTGGTTACTGATGGAGCTACAAATATGGTGAAAGCTTTGCGTGATGGTAACCTTGTTGGTGTGCGCTGTGCAGCGCACATTATCCATCTAGTAGTAAAGTCAGCAATCCCAGAAGGTAATAACAGAGTTTCCAGTGTGATTGAACGGTGCAGGAGGATTGCTGGGCACTTCCACCGCAGTGTGAAGGCTAGCCAACTGTTGAGGCAGGTCTTCCCATACACTGTCTACGACAAGATGTCAGTACACGGTGGAACTCTACTCTGGAGATGCTGGAGAGGATTTTAGAGCAGCAGAGGGCAATCCATAGTCTGGCATCAGACCAATACATCGGTATTGGTTCTCCACTAGGTAGAGACGATTGGACAGTGATCGCTCAGCTAGTGGCAATCCTGAAACCATTCAGGGATGCCACTGAAAATTTAAGCTTGAACACTGCCAATCTGGGACAGGTAATCCCTGTTTTTACCCATCTAGGGAGCAAGATGGGTGTCTTCCTTGAACGCCAAGAGGTTGTTCAAGGTGATCCTTTACATCCTGATGTAATAACTCTGGTCAGGAGGCTGAAGGATCAGCTTAAAGTTCGCCTACGTGAGCGAATGGATAATTCTCCTGAACTGATGCTAGCTTGCCTGTGTGATCCAAGGATTAAGGGAAAGCTTGCACTCAGATCCAATAACTTAACAAATTGGAGGGAGAAATTGATCCAGAGGGTGTGTGACTGGCAGC